TTTTTTTTTTTTCTTTTTTAATTGGGTGGAGTTGGTCTTGCAGTGTTTTGTAGGCTAGTCTCAAACTCTTGAGCCCAAGCAGTTTTCCCATGTCAGCCTCAAAATAGCTGGGACTGCAGGTGCATGCCACTGTGCCCAGCTTAGAATTATGTTTTGATGACATACTTAATTGTGTGCTTGACACTTAGTCGCTAGTCAATAAATATTAGTTCAACAAATCAAAGAAAATTATTATATGCATGATTTTCAAAAAAGATTTTTTTTATTTATTTATTTTTTGCGACAGTCTTACTCTGTCACCCAGGCTAGAGTGCAATGGCACGATCTTGGCATGCAGCAACTTCCGCCTCCCTGGTTCAAGCAATTCTCCTGCCTTAGCCTTCTGAGCAGCTGGGATCACAGGAGCATGCCACCACATCTGGCTAATTTTTTGTATTTTTAGTAGAGACAGGGTTTCACCATGTTAGCCAGGCTGGTATTGCTCTCCTGACCTCATTGATGCCAGCTTCAAGGCCTCCCAAAGTGCTGGGATTACAGGGGTGAGCCACTGTGCCTGGCCTGACATTTATTATTTACAGGTGAATTTTGCTTTTAGGTATAGCTTGTCTCTTGACACGTTTTAAATTGGGTTATTGGCAGGTAAAATCTTGGCTGGATGCTATGTTTTGGGGTTCAAATACCAACGGCAAGTAGTATGAGGCAGATAGCATTACATCTACAGTAACTACATATAGTGATAAAATGGTTGCTCGTTCAAGCAGGTGGTACTCGAGATTTTTGTTTAGAATTGCTAAGATCATAAACCATAGACTTTAAAAAATTTTATTTTATTTTTTCTTTTTTTTAAGGGAAAAAAGGAAGAAAGAAAAAGCAAAAAAGAAAGAGAGAAAGAAAAAATGAAAGAGAGAAAGAGGAAGAGAAAGGGAGAGAGAACGGGAATCTTGCTCTATTGCCCAGGCTAGAATGCAGTCTAAAAATGGGTATTAAAAACCTCTTTTATGCCAATAATTGTGCTTAACAAAGGAGACAGGAAGGAATAAGGGAGGAAAATAACAAACACGTAGCCAACCAATATTTCATTTAAACCTGTGAAGTGCTATGTAATTACTGAGGAGTTACTTACTTCCAATTATGTAGTCACTTTTAGAGTAGGTATGATGTGGTACTGAGAAGAATGTATGTTTTGTGAATTTGGGGTGAAGAGTTCTGTAAATGTTTATTAAGTTTACTTGTTCTGGGTCTGAGTTCAAGTCCTGGATATCCTTGTTAATTTTCTGTC